TGGGGACATCCCTGAGCCTGTCCCCAGCCCCAGCGGCCATGTCCCCAAATGTCCCCCGTGTCCCCCCCGGTGTCCCCTGAGCTCTGTCCCTGTCCCCAGGTCGGTTGGTTTCCCGCCAATTACGTGGACGAGGATTTCTCGGATTATTGCTGATCCCGCGGATTATCGCCGATTTTCGGGAATTATCGCCGATTTTCGGGAATTATCGCCGATTTTCGGGAATTATCGCCGATTTTCAGGAATTATCGCCGATTTTCGGGAATTGTGGCCGATTTTCGGGAATTATTGCCAATTCTGAGAATTATAGCTGATTTTTGGGAATTATGGCTGATTTTGGGAATGACTGCTGATTTTTGGGAATTACCGCTGATTTTTGGGAATTATCGCTGATTTTTGGGAATTACCGCTGATTTTTGGGAATTATCGCTGATTTTTGGGAATTATCGCTGATTTTTGGGACGCCCCGACAGCAGCGCCACCCCCGGCAGTGTCCCCAAAGATGTCCCCAGCGATGTCCCCAAGATGTCCCCAAACCCGATAATTGATGGGACAAAAAACTGGGATCAGATCCAAGGGGATTTAACGGGAATCGGCCCAAAAAAATTCCGGGAATGTCCAGTTGGGAATGTCCATTTGGGAATGTCCAGCCGGGAATGTCCATTTGGGAATGTCCAGCTGGGAATGTCCATTTGGGAATGTCCAGTTGGGAATGTCCAGTTGGGAATGTCCAACTGGGAATGTCCAACTGGGAATGTCCATTTGGGAATGTCCATTTGGGAATGTCCAGTTGGGAATGTCCAACTGGGAATGTCCAACTGGGAATGTCCATTTGGGAATGTCCAGTTGGGAATGTCCATCTGGGAATGTCCATTTGGGAATGTCCATCCGGGAATGTCCAGTTGGGAATGTCCATCCGGGAATGTCCAGCTGAAATGTCCATTTGGGAATGTCCAGCTGGGAATGTCCAGTTGGGAACGTCCAGCTGGGAATGTCCAGCTGGGAATGTCCAGTTGGGAATGTCCAGTTGGGAATGTCCAGCTGGAAATGTCCATTTGGGAATGTCCATCTGGGAACGTCCATCCAGGAATGTCCATCCAGGAATGTCCATCCGGGAATGTCCAGTTGGGAATGTCCATCCAGGAATGTCCATTTGGGAATGTCTATCCGGGAATGTCCATTTGGGAATGTCCAGTTGGGAATGTCCAGCTGGAATGTCCATTTGGGAATGTCCAGTTGGGAATGTCCATTTGGGAATGTCCAGTTGGGAATGTCCAGTTGGGAATGTCCATCCGGGAATGTCCATTTGGGAATGTCCATTTGGGAATCTCCAGTTGGGAATGTCCAGTTGGGA